AAACTTACTATCTATTCATTAACGTAAACTATTAAAAAAAAGAAAAAAAAAAACTTTTCCAAAAGACTCATTCTAATACTTACTATCAGTCATGAACGTAAACTATTTTAAAAAAAAAAACTATTTTCAAAACAGACATTCATATAAACACTATCTATCATTAACGCAAGCCATAAAAAAAACTAGAAAACAGACTCATTGATATAAATTTAAAATCTATTCCTTAACGTAAACTATTATAAAAAAAAAAAAAAATCTTTTACAAAACACACTCATTCATATAAAACTATCCAGTCATTAACGTAAACTATTTAAAAAAAACTATTTCAAAACAGACTCATTCATATAAACACTATCTATCATTAACGCAAGCCATCAAAAAGAAAACTAGAAAACAGACTCATTGATATAAATTTAAAATCTATTCCTTAACGTAAACTATTATAAAAAAAAAAAAAATCTTTTACAAAACAGACTCATTCATATAAATTTCCTATCTATTATTTAACGTAAACTATTTTAAAAAAAACTTTTACAAAACAGACTCATTCATATAACACTATCTATTCATTAACGTAAAACTATTAAAAAAAAAAAAATACAAAACAGACTCATTCATATAAACTTACTATCTATTCATTAACGTAAACTATTAAAAAAAAACTTTTACAAAACAGATTCATTCATATAAACTTACTATCTATTCATTAACGTAAACTATTTTTAAAAAACTATTACAAAACACACATTCATATATAAACTTACTATCTATTCATTAACGTAAACTATTAAAAAAAACTATTTCAAAACAGATTCATTCATATAAACTTACTATCTATTATTAACGCAAATCATTTAAAAAAAAACTAGAAAACAGACTCATTGATATAAATTTAAAATCTATTCCTTAACGTAAACTATTATAAAAAAAAAAACTTTTTACAAAACACACTCATTCAAAGAAACTTACTATCTATTCATTAATGAAACTATTTAAAAAAAAGAAACTTTTACAAAACAGATTCATTCATATATACTTACTATCTATTATTAACGCAAATCATTAAAAAAACAACTACGAAACAGACTCATTCATACAAATTTAAAATCTATTCCTTAACGTAAACTATTATAAAAAAAAAAAAAAACTTTTACAAAACACACACTCATTCAAAGAAACTTACTATCTATTCATGAACGTAAAACTATTTAAAAAAACTATTTTCAAAACAGACTCATTCATATAAACTTTACTATCTATCATTAACGCAAGCCATTAAAAAAAAAACTAGAAAACAGACTCATTGATATAAATTTTTAAAATCTATTCCTTTAACGTAAACTATTAAAAAAAAACTTTTACAAAACAGACTCATTCATATAAATTACTATCCATTCATTAAACGTAAACTATTTTTTTAAANATGTTCACCAACAACCGTTGAAAATGTTTCACCAAGGTCTTCGCTGTAACTGACCCGTTCCTAAGTAAGGATGCCAATCACCAACTGGTATAATCTCGAGGGAAAAGGTCTTGAATGATTCAAAGTCGAAGTTGGTGCCATATCCATCTGGACGTCAGGGACATGTTTTGCAGAGAAACATGCTTCCTAAACCCCGGGAACATGCGGTAGGGCGGCCAGTTCCTTTCCGCCCCGACTTTGACCCCAGTATGCTGACGTCGGCATACCAGCGCTCATTCACAGCTGAGTCGACTGACTGAGAGGGGCAGCCGGGCGCGAACCCAGGACCGTGCGATTGCAAAGCCAGCGTTCTACCACTGAGCCATGCCACCTCCTTGAATCATTAATGCAATCAGATATTCCAGCACACACATGGGAATGGGGGGGGGGATGTGTCGATTATCATCAAAAGAGTTTCGAAAGATTGATGTCTGATGGCATTTCTTTGTCAGACGACAAAATGATAAGGTGGTCTATGAGAATCGAGGATGTATAACAGTTTTCCAGACCATTCTTACGGCTGGCAGTGGTATCATCATCCAATCAGCATCTAGGACGAGCAGTGACGTCATCTGCCCGGTTTGTTGAACACGAATATTCATATAAACAAACATGCAAATACACATAAATAAATCCCTATCCGTCTATCTATCTGATAAATATGCAATTATCTATATACATCTATCTGGTAGATATGCATATCTAGACTGACAGATATGAATCTATTTCAGTATACATATATACTGGTTTATAAGAATATTCATTGGGTCGATTACCGTCTCCCCGTCCAGGCTATGAGTTCTATTTCTTAATGTCACACACACACACACACACACACACACACACACACACACACACACACACACACACACACACACACACACACACTTATATGATAACTTTGTAAAGTAACAATTTTACACTTGTAACTAAAACTTTACTTAAGTGAGAGAGAGAGTGACAGAGACAGAGACAGACAGAGACAAAGACAGAGACAGAGACAGAGAACAACAACAACAAAATAAAAATAAAGGAAGAGAGAACGAAAGACAAGACATGAGGCTCCGAGCGAATTCCGAGTCGAGCGGTTTCGAACAGAATAACAACGGAAACTGCACGATGGATAGATGGAGCAAGAGCTTAGATAACTTTCACATTAAAACGTGAGTGACCATTGAAACGTGTGCTACTATTATTTATGCAGAAGAGAGAGAGAGAGAGAGAGAGAGAGAGAGAGAGAGAGAGAGAGAGAGAGAGAGAGAGAGAGAGAGAGAGAGAGAGAGAGAGAGAGAGAGAGAGAGAGAGAGAGAGAGAGAGCACCGCAGTCATTATAGTTCCTTTGTTACTGCTGTTGCATGTCCCTATCGATCATCATTGTGGAAGTGTCGATCTAATCAGAGAATTCCTCATACTAAATTTAGAGAGAGAGAAAGAGAGAGAGAGAGTGAGATTCGAGGAATGCCAAGTTTCGGATAATTATTTCAAATTCCGCTTATTAGCTGTGGGTTTTGCAAGCCCAGAGAGAGAGAGAGAGAGAGAGAGAGAGAGAGAGAGAGAGAGAGAGAGAGAGAGAGAGAGAGAGAGAGAGAGAGAGAGAGAGAGAGAGAGAGAGAGAGAGAGAGAGAGAGAGGGAGAGAGAGAGGAGGGAGAGATAATATCATTATCATTACCATCATTATTCTCATGATTTTTTTTATCATGATCGTTATTATTATTACTACTATTATTATCATTATTACCATTATTATTATTATCATTATTACTATTACTACTATTATCATTGTTAGTTATTATCATCATCATTATTATAATTATTATCATC